TTCTTGTACTTTCGTGGGCATATCCTTCTTCAGATTGGAAAAGTTTTCTTTAATGATTTTGTTGAATATGTTTTCTGCACCTTTGAGCTGGGCTTCTTTGACAGGCACTATGCCTATTATTCTTAGGTTTGGCCTTTTCATGGTGTCCCACATTTCCTGGATGTTTTGTGTTAAGGATTTATTGGATTTAAGATTTTCTTTGGTCAATGAATCTATTTCCTCTAGTTTATCTTCAGTGCCTGAGACTCTCTCTTCCATCTCTTGTATTCTGTTGGTTATGTTTGTGTCTGTAGTTCCTGATCATTTGCCCAGTTTTTCTATTTCCAGCATTCCTTCAGTTTGTGTTTTCTGTATTGTCTCTATTTCAGTTTTCAAGTTTGAACTGTTTCCTTAACCTGTTTGCTTTTTCTTGGCTTTCCTTACTTTCTTTAAGAGATTTGTTCATTTCTTCCAATTTTTTGTTTGTTTTTTCTTCCATTTATTTGAGGGATTTTCTCACATCATCTCTGAAGGTCTCTATTATTTTTATAAAGATATTTTTTAAGTCATTCCCTTCTGCTTCATTTGGTTTGGGGTGTTCAGGTCTCATTGGTGTAGTGTCCCTAGATTCTGGTGGTGTCATGCTTGTCTTTCTATTGTTAGGTGTTTTCTTGTATTGCTGTCTTCCCATTGCTTCCTCCAGTAAGTGCAAGTGGGGTGTTTCTCTCTTTCTATGGTACTCCCCTGTGGGCTTAGGTGGGGCAGAGGTTCGATGTCTGTAACTCTCTAGAAGGTCTCTCCCCAGGCAGGGGCCTGGCAATGGGGGTCAAAGATCAAGCTCCAGCAGAGGTCTGTGAAGGGTGTCAAAGATCCTGCAGGCAGGGACTCAGGATCATCCTGCAGGGATAGGCAGATCTCTGAGAGGGGCCCAGAACTCCTGCAGAGGACCGGTGGTGGGGGTCAGAGATCAGGCAGGTGGGGATTCAGGGTAGTCCTATGTGGATAGGCATGTCTCTAGGTTTGTGTGCTTAATGTCCACTTCAGTGCTTCTGTCTTTCTGGTGGGCTGCCGGAGCTATGTCCTTAGCTCACAAGTCTGCATTGTGAATCTGCATGTCCACACTTCTCCCCTTGTGCCCATGGTGAACCAGCAGGAATATTGGTAACAAACACACAGGGCCCAGGGCCAGGAGCCTTGTCTTGTGCTTCCTGCTTTGCCAGAGCTTCTATGTGAGCTCTTTTGTCCTAATGTCAGAGGGTACTTTCTCCATACTCTTGTCATTTACTTCTTAGAGTACCCAACAATTGGACCTGTTTGCTTACTGCAGCTTTTGCCAGGTGTCCAGGTTGTTCTCTGTGCTAGGAGATGAAATATTTATCCCTCTATTACAGGTGTCAATTTTTTAAATTGTTTTTCATTCATTCTTTTTTTTTTTTGAGACTGAGTCTCTCCTTGAGCTCACAGAGATCCTCCTTCCTTGGCTCTTGAGTAGTGGGGTTAAGGGCATACATCACCACTCATATCTGGGGGTGCTTTGAGAGTCCAGGAAAGCAGTATCTCCACAGACTGCTTACCTCTCTTCCTTATGCCCATTACACCAGAGTGGGAACCTCAGCAGGCACCTGGCTTTGTTGATTGGGGCAGATTTTCTGAACCCCAATCCCTGCACTGGTCACTTGGCATGGCACTATTCAACCTAGCTTCTGGGAAGTGCCTCTTTCACTTCCCAAGCACAGAGAGCTAAGATGTACAGTGGTATTAGCAAAGTACAGTGTTGAGTTCACTATAAAAACAGATAATCTTTCTGAACAGAATCAACATCCACCAGGCAAAGTGATTAAATTTACAGCTCAGTTCGTGCTGATCAATAAAAAAATGAAATGTAGAGCAGCCTGATGCATCCACCAGAAACAGTGGTCCAAAGGATTTCTTCACCAACATCCAGATTCATTCCAGGGTCTCTCTGCACATGTGACTTTCCAAACATGATTTTTTTCTTACCTAAACAATTGATAATATAAATACAGAACTAGTCAAGATAGAGTTGTAGTACAGTAACAATCAGATCCCCCAAAGTCACTAGGTTGAAATAAGTAAGGCTCATCAACTTGTAGAAGATTGCAGATAGAGCCATATTTATTGCCATGCACAAAACTCAAGTCTAAGTGGATCAAAGACCTCAACCTAAATCCAGATACACTGAACCAAACAGAAGAGAAAGTGGGAGGTAGCCTTGAACACATTGACACAGGAGACTGCTTCCTAAATATAACATGAGCAGCACAGACACAAAGCAAAAATCAATAATTGGGACCTCCTGAAACTGAGAAGTAGGACAAAGGGCACAGTAAATAAGACAAAACAACAGAATACAGAATGGGAAAAGATCATTACCAACTCCATATTTGACAGAGGGATGATCTCCAAAATATATAAAGACTCCAGAAACTAAACATCAAATTACCAAATAATCAAATTTTTAAAATGTGGTACAGATCTAAACAGAGAATTCTCAACAGAAGAAACTCAAATGGCTGAAAGACTCTTAAGGAAATGCTCAACATCCTTAATCTTAAGAGAATGCAAATTAAAACCACTCTTAGATTCCAACTTATACCTATCAGAATGACTAAGATCAAAAACACCAATGACAGCTTATGCTGGAGAGGATGTGGAGAAAGGGGAACACTCTTCCATTGCTGGTGGGAATGCAAACTTGTACAGCTGCCGTGGAAATCAGTATGAAGATTTCTCAGAAAATTAGGGACCAACCTACCTCAAGACCCCACAATACCACTTCTGGGCATATACCCGAAGGAAGCACATTCACACCACAAGGACATTTGCTCAACTATGTTCATAGCAGCATTATTTGTAATAGCTAGATCTTGGAAACAGCCTAGATGCCCCTCAACTGAAGGATGGATGAAGAAAATGTGGTATATTTACACAATGGAGTACTACTCAGTGGTAAGAAACACTGACATCCTAAAATCCACAGGCAAATGGATAGAACTAGAAAAAACATCCTAAGTGAGGTAACCCAAAGCCAGAAAGACAAATATAGTATGTACTCACAAGTAGATAACAGACGTAAAGCAAAAGATAACCAGCCTATAACTCATAACCCCAGGGAAGCTTGAACCCTCTTCCAGAAACAGATGCAGAAATCCACAACTAACCATTGGGCCGAGCTCCTCGAGGACAATCAAAGTGAGAGAGGAGCAAAAATATGAACAAAGGAGTCAAGAACAAGATGGGGAAACCCACAGAATCATCTGACCTGAGCTAGTGAGAAATCACTGACTCAGGTCTGACAGATGGGGAATCTACATAAGATGGAACTAGACTCCCTTAATTTAGGTGACAGTGGTGTGAATGGGACAGTATATGAGGCCACTGGCAGTGGGTCCAAGATCTAAGTCTAATGCACAAACTGACTTAGTGGAGCCCATTCTATATGAAGAAATACCATGCCCAGCCTAGACACAAAGGTGTGGGGTGGAGAGATGCCTTGGTCCTGCCTCAAGGAGATGATGGGACAGACTTAGACTTCCTAGAGGAGGGCTTATCCTCTCCATGGAGTAGATGGGAGGAGGAAGAAGTTGGGGGAATGGGGAAAGAGGAGGGAAGGGGCACTGGGATTGGAGTATAAAAAAATAAATAAAAATGTGAAAAAAATAACATCTTAAAATGTGTAGGCAAATGGATGGAACTAGAAAAAAAAATCATTCTAAGTGAGGTAACCCATACCCAGAAAGAAAAAAAGTATGTACTCACTCATTAAATGGATACTAGATATAAAGCAAAGAATAACTAGGCCACAATCCACAGCTCCAGAGAAGCTAGGTAACAAGGAGGACCCTAGAAATGTCACAAGGATCGCTCTGGGAAGGGGAAATAGATGAGAGCACTGGGAGTGAGGGCAGTAAAGTGGAAGAGATGGGGGATGAGAACATGAGGGAACGGGAATGGGATGGATGGGATGGTCAGGTTGTGTGACGGATGGGGTGGGAAAGCAAGGAAAGAGATATCTCGATAGAGGGCTAGGGAGAAACCTAGTTCCTGGGAAGTTCCCAAGAATCCACAAGGATAACACAAGCTAGGATCCCTAGCAGTTGTGGAGAGGATGCATAAAGTGGCCTTCCCCTGTAATCAGTTTGGTGACTATCTTGACTGTCATCATAAAATCTTCATCCAGTAACTTCAAGGCCAGCCCATGCTATGTGGGAATTTCAGGCTTACCAGGTTATAGTGTGAGATTTTCTCATTTAAAGAAAAACATGACATTCAAATAAACCAATCCAAAACTAAAACAAAAGAACCCCCCCCCCAAAAAAAGGTGTAAAAGTCTGACTGTATTTTAAACAAACTACAGGTCTGGGTATTTAATGGAGTCCTGTCATGAACTGAATAAGTAGCTCCCGGTTATATTAGTGTCTCTAAGACATGCAACCTATGCCCAAATTCATTTCAGAAGCTAAAAGCCATCTGTAGGTACAAGGTAAGAAAGTACAGAAAACTAGCCATCTCTGTTTTTGAGGAATACTAAAGCTAGGACCAGAACAGGCTGGTATATATAAGCTCACAGCAGGTAAGGGCACCTCAGGTTTACTGAAGGCCAGAGGGGAAGGCTGGCTCTTGGCTTATACAGTACCTCTCTCTCTCTCTTTCAGGATTCATTCTTGCTTTCTTGGCAGTCTGGGAAGGTATTCTTGTCTGCTTACTGTTGCTCAGCCAGGTGTTCTGGGCTGTCTTCAATGTGGGGGTGGGGGGTGGGGGATGGGGGGACACACATTCAGCTGGTGTCTGTGAAGAGGAGGTCACAGTGCCTGGCTGCTGTTGGTACTGAAACTTGACAGTCATACATGGCTGTAGAAAGTCTATTTAAAAGGTTTTATTATTATTATTATTATTATTATTATTATTCAACTGTTATTCAGCAATATACAGTACAGTTTATAAACAATTATACCCTTGCTTCCAATCTTTATTTAAAAATAAATATTATTGACAGTGAGTTTTAATTACGATGTTTCTTTTTAATCAAAATGTCTCCAAAGAAATAATTTAATAAAGAAAAGCCCCCAAAGAAAATGTAAATTCAAAAAAATTTCTAAACACAATAATCTCCTAAAAATATTTTACTTTGTCAGAAAGGCTTTGACCCAACATTTTTTTACATATTATCCTCAAAGTACCTGCTCAACAGTTCGTGCAAAATGAAGATTTGGAGTGAATGTGAAGGAAATAAAAATACATTGTACATTGCTGTGGAGTACTCAGTGCCCCATGCACACTGCACAGCCTGCACTCCATCCTATTTGCAAACTTGATGCGTTATTTTATGTCTTCTAGATTTGTTTACTTCCCCAAAAATAAGAGTTATTTATTTCTGCATGGACTTCTTCATGCTTCCCTTGGTCCCTATGTCCATGTGGCAAAGCATCCTCTGGAGTACTTGCTGAAGTTTTATGACTTGTCAGTGCCCCAGCAGTGGGTGCAGGAACTTATGCAGTGCTAACAAGAGCAGAGACAGCAGAGGGTCCGTGCTATAGCCAGGGCCAGTACCTGAAGGTAAAGAGAAGACAGACAGTCAACTGAAATTCTGAGACCTGGAACCCTGAGGCAGACCAGAGCCAAGGGAAACTTCCCCAGGCTTCTGAAACCACAGTAGCTCACTAGAGGCTGCCAAGGCTGCTTCAATTTAAGGATGGAGCCAACTGTGGTCAGACACAAGTGACCTTGCCCTGAGATGGATGTGCCAGTTCAAAAGTCCAAGTCATTGCCTTAATTTACTAAAGACAAACCTGCTTTTTTGTCCTTGGCACAATTCTTCCAAGTGTCCTTGAAATGAAGGCTCACTTACCCTACCTCCTCCATGAAGATGCCATATCTACATACAGTTCTACCTTTCATGAAATCTTTCTACACTCCTAAATGGCACAGCTCAGCACCCACACAGGTCCTGTTAGGGGTGGTTTATGTGTGTGAGCATCCTTGGTGCCAACCCACTCCTCTTGAGATGGAGAACTCAGTAATCACAGGCTGGTGTGGGTGAATACCTATGATCCTACATATATGGCCCCATACTGTGTCATGTCCACCCCTGTCCAGTGCTTAGGTACCTGGTCTGCTTCTGGGCCATGACCCCATGAATGTCTTCATCCTGCCCCTTCTGGGCCATTGCTTGGCTCCTCACTCTTCTCAAAGTTTCCAGATGCTGCATAGACCTTTCTGTGTAGCCAAGAAAAGCCCACCCAAGAGCCCTGGGCTCCTGAGATGCAAAATGTCCTGCTTCTCCTGAGATTCCCTGCTCTTCTGCCTGTTGCTTGGAGCCACCACTGCTGAATGGGATGCTGGAGGACACCACTGCTGGCTGTTCTCATGTACATTTCCCCTGGACTCCCAGAAGCCTGTAACACTACACTCAGGAGGGTTGTAGGAGGCTCTTCATTGGCCAACACCAGGTTTACAGAGAGTATGGAGACTTTGCAAAGCTGCCTGCCCTAGCTTCTTCTCATCATTAGGTCAGAAGAGTGCTTCTCCAACAAGGCTGGGCCTGAATATTTGTAGTACTATCAATCTTAATGGGAAGAAGCACTGTCAATCATTTCATTTCTTTTTAGTTTTCTGATGTTATTCTTTTTGAGAATGGAATGAGAATTGTATTATATAATTTCCACCCTTCCCTTATCCCCCTCCAACTTCTCCAGTGTAGCCCATCTACTTCCTCCTCTCAAAGTTATTACTTCTTTATTACTATGCGTGTGTGTGTGTGTGTGTGTGTGTGTGTGTGTGTATGTGTGTGTATCCTGCTGAGTCCACTTTTAGTTGTTCATATGTGTTTGTGTTTAGGGATGACCACTGGGATTGGGTGGGTATCAGTGGGCTCATTCTTGGTGGAGATTCATTCTTCCTCTCCTAGCAGCCATTTATTGCCTATAGCTCTTTATCTAGAGGTTAGACATTGAGAGTTTTTCCCTACCTCTGTTAGCATGCCAACTGATGTTATCATTGTGCAGGTCTTGTTTAGGTAACCATATTGTTGAGATTTACTGGGTGTAGTTCCTTATCATATATAAAAGACACACTCTCAAGCAGGCATCCTGGTTCTCTGATGCCTACAATCTTTCTGCTATCCTTTCTGAAATGTTCGCTGAGCCTTGTGTTATAATTTGTTCATTTAATTAGCATCCAAAATAATAGTTTTCATCAAAATTTCTCCATACATATCTTCATCAGACTTTGCTTATGTACAGTCAGTCCCATTATTGTACTTCACCCTATTCTCCACGCCTGTTGTTGATCTCCTTTCCTAATAGTACCCCTTCTGTTTTCATCATACATCACACACACACACACACACACACACACACACAAAGAGAGAGAGAGACAGAGACAGAGAGAAAGAGTTTTAAATCCAGCAAGACATAATACTTGCTTAACACAATGGCTGTCCACTCCATCCACTTTCCTGAAAATATAATTTCATCTGAATAAAATTCTAATGTGTGTGTGTGTGTTTATACATACATACATACATACATACATACATACATACATACACACACACACACTTTCTTTTTCCAGTCTGAGCACTTAGACTAGTTCTGTATCTTGGTAATTGTGGCTACTGCAGCAGTGAACATGGATGTGGATGCATGGGTGTGGTATACCGGCCTTCAGGTGCATACCTAGGCATGTTGTAACTGGATCCAACCATTATTCTTTTTGTCCAAAGCATTTCCCCTACTCTAAAATCTAGCTTGCTCCATGACTCCAGCTGCCTATGTGTGGACTGGTGCTAGCTCACATAGTGGAGTGAGAAAACACAGGCTCTTCATGTGTTCAGTTTCTCCAGAGCTGCTATTTCTGTGCACATCCCTGACCCCAACTAGGGAGTCCATCCAGGACCCCATCCAGACACACTAGCCTTCAGATCTTAATTTTCCAGTCTTCACTCTTGCCATCCCACAATCTGGCTACTCTGCCCCTAGCCATCACGAGCAGAATCACGGTGCATTGATTGCTTCAAAGACTGCAATCTTCTTTTGCACATCCTTGTTCTCATTGTCACACACTGCTAGGAAGATGGATGAGTTTATGGGTGAATTAATGGATGGCTAGGGGTCTGGGTGGAATTCACAGAGGCTCCTGGGCATGTGGAAAAAACAAACTGAATGGAAGGACAGAGGACAGAGTGGTGCTTCTTGAGCACATAAAGTTGGGAAACTAGACATCCAGTGCCTAAACTTGGTTCTTTACACTCTTGCAATCCCTAAAACTGAGGCAGGCTCAGGTGACAGAAACAATTCATAAGCGGTATCTAAAAGCAGTTGTGCACAGAATTCCAGACCATCAAGATGAGCAGCAGGCAGAGAAGTGGCCAGAGGGCATGTAAGCCAGGCTGGGTAGAACTGGTAGCATAGGAGAGGTAAAGAGAGATTTAAACTAGCTTTCAAGTACCCCATTGACTGGTCTGGCACTATTACAGTCTCACTTGCTTAAGGTTAAAAGTTTGCAGACTGAGGACATAGTTCAGTTCATAGTGTGCACAAAGCCCTGAGATCAATGCCCATTACACAAAAAGCAGTTTGATACTCTGTGCTGGGCCAGAGGTGGAAGTATCAGGGACAGGAAGACCATATGGTGGCTTCCTAAGGTGATGCCTATGGAGAGTAGAGTATAGCCTGTGGTGTCTATAATGTTGGATGCCTGCTTGGGGACTACAGGGGTTCCTAAGCCTAGCCCTGTTGATAAAAACCCCCTCTACCTCTCTGGGTCTAATAACAAATGTCACAGAATTAATATGTGTCTAGCTGGTGTCACTAGGCTGGGCTTTAAGCAATTCATATAGTCAGGCTACAGAAATGGACACAAAAAGCCTTCCTCCTCTCTAGCATGCACATTCTGTGATAGTGTCCCCCTACATGACCTGTTGTGAACAGAGGAATATCATCAAGGTGAGATAAAAGTTTACAGATGGCTGTGAACTTTAGGAAGGAACTGTCTACGCCTCAGTCAGCCTGCTGAAAAATGTGGGTCATGAGACATCCTAGGTAAGATCCCTTTAGACAAATCAACCCCCATGTGAATTGGCACCAACTGCCTAGATAAGCCTAACAGAGACCAATCGAGGAACTTCCCAGATGAGCCCAGATAAATCATCATGTTGAGTAAATGACTGTGGTGGTTTAAAAGAAAATGTCCCCCAAAAGGATGGCATTATTAGGAGGCATGGCTTTGTTGGAATAGGTGTGGTAGTGTTGGAGGACGTGTGCCACTGGAGGAAAGCTTTGAAGTCTCATAGATGCCCAGTGTCTCACTTCACTTTCTGTTGCCTTTGGATCAAGATGTGGAATTCTCCAGCAACATGTTTGCCTTCACACTGCCATACTCTGAGCCACCATGCTCCCCACTATGATGATAAAATGGACTAAACCTCTGAAACTGTACCCCAATGAATTGTTTCCCTTTATAAGAGTTGCTGTGGCCATGGTGTCTCTTCACAGCAATAGAAACCAAAGACCATAATGTCACACCAAAGTCACTGAATTTTAAGGTTCTCTGTCACACAACAAAAGTTATCCCATACAACATATAAACAAAAGCAGCCAGATAGTCAGTGCCATGCAAGCAGAGGTTTCAGAAAAGGCTAGTGTAAGCCAGGTATGTTAGACACACTTGCAATCCCAGTACTCAGGAGGTTGAAGCAAGATGATCAGCCTGGGCTACATAGTGAGACCTTGTTTAAAAAACAAACAAAAATAGAGCTAAGAATATATCTCAAAGAAACAGCACTTATCCAAATGTACAGGGCCTTGGATTTGATCCCCAGCACCATATACATTGTAGGGCTGGCTGGATGGCTGAGCATGCAGAGACACTTGCTTGAAAGCCTGGCCACCTGTGTTCAGTCCCTAGAACTCACATAAAAGCAGAAGGAGAATGCCAACTCCACAAGCAAAACTTTAAAAGGAGTATCTTACCTGAACAGTGCTAAAGAGCTAGTTTTGTGAATCTCCTCCTCCCAAGAGAGAACTTTTCCAACATGGGTGAACTTTCTTATCAACTTCTTTTTAAAACATCCCTGGATCTTGGTGACGAATGGAGTCACATTCTTTGGGAGAGATATGTTGTGATGTCTAGCACTGGGCCTACTCTGCATCTGGGGCCTGAGTCCCTACCTCCCTGACTCCCAGAGGCCACCAGAACTGCTCACTGTAGTCTGGTCTGACAGGTGCAACTCATCATGACCATGTAGGGCACAGGATGGGTATGGTTGGCTCAGCTGGGATGGGCTCACTGGCCTACCTTGTGGTCTCTTTTCTGGTATTCCTAGAGCCTAGAGCATGGTGCTAAACAGACAGACTGGCATGCTGAATAGATTAGAATGCTAACAGTTTCTTCATCTGTTTGTTCCCTTGCAGAGATGAACCAAGAATAGTGCTGAGTGCATACAAGTGTATTAGTCATGATAAAGCAGGAGTTTCAGGGAACCCAGGAGGTGAGGGAAGCCCTGGGAAGAATGGCTGATTCATCCTCACTTCAAGCCAGCTCAGACTACT